CCTCCTCAGCACCGACGGGTGCAATTGGTCTCCCCGGAGCCGCCTCCTCTCCGGGCTGAGCCCCCCCAGCTCTCCCAGCCCGTCCTCACCGCAGCGGGGTTCCAGCCCTCGGCTCATCTCCGTGGTCTCCTCTGGACCCGCTCCAACAGGTCCCCGGGTCTTTCCTCAGCCGAGGACCCCAGAGCCGGATAGAATCACGGAATCGGAGAAGAATTTCCATTGAAAAAGACCTTTGGGATCGTTGAGTCCAACCATAAACCTAACGCTGCCAAATCTGAGCGCAGGACTCCCTGGGGTCTCACCAGAGCCGAGGGCAGCGTCCCCTCCCTCTTCCCCAAACCCATTGCGTTGTGTGGGCTTGTGATGACCCGAGTGCAGGATCTGACGTTGAACCTTGATAAATCTCATCCCGTTGGCCTCAACCCATCGATTCCTGCCTCAACCCATCGATTCCCACCTCTCCAGATCCCTCCGTAGGGATCTACCCTCGAGCAAACCCCCGCCCTTGCCCAACTTGGTGTCATCTACAAACTTAGGGTGCACTCGATCCCCTCATCCCTATCATCCGCCTGCCGGCATCTTCTTTCCCTCTCCCCCCAAAAAGAGCTTGGGCGTGAGCCCCCCGACCTCCCTGACGTGGGGATGGGTGAATTTGTGGGGTCCTCACGTCCCTTTTTCCCCCCCTCCCCAGAAACACGCGCTGATGGAGCAGGTAGCCCACCAGACCATCGTCATGCAGTTCATCCTGGAGCTGGCCAAGAGCCTGAAGGTCGATCCCAGGGCTTGTTTCAGGCAGTTTTTCACCAAAATTAAGGTAAGAACCAGAGCCGAATCCCCGCCGTCCCCTCGAGGCAGGTCGTTTCCCAGCTCCCCGGCACCGCTGCGTGCCTTGGCGGCTTTCGGCGGCTTGCGGGGGGTGAAGAGATGCAGCCAGGCGGGACCCCGGGTTGGATTTGGGGCAGAAAACGGGGCTCCAGCAGGACCCGACGCCCCTCCTTCACCCCCATCTCCTCGCAGACGGCTGACCAGCAGTACATGGAGGGCTTCAATGACGAGCTGGAAGCTTTCAAAGAACGGGTGCGAGGTCGAGCCAAGGTTCGCATCGAGAAGGCGATGAAGGAATACGAGGAAGAGGAGCGGCAGAAACGCCTGGGCCCCGGCGGGCTCGACCCCGTGGAGGTGTACGAATCCCTCCCGCCCGTGAGTATCTACCCCGTGCTTTTTTTTTTTTTTTTTCTTTTTTTTGAGGGGGTGGAGGGGTTAAACCGCCAAAGTTTGGTCACACTTTAAAGTGATTTAACGCTCGGGGCTTTCCTCACGCGCGCGTATTCCGCCATTTTCTCTTCGGCCTCGCAGGAGCTGCAGAAATGCTTTGACGTAAAAGATGTGCAGATGTTGCAGGACACGATCAGCAAAATGGATCCCACGGTGAGTATTTATTTCCCTTCCCCCTCGCCTCAGGGGTGCGCGGGAGGGGGTCCCCCAGTCTCGAGCCCCCCACCCTGAGCCTTCCTCCCCCTCCCTCGCTTCCAGGAGGCCAAATACCACATGCAGCGATGCATCGATTCGGGGCTCTGGGTCCCCAACGCCAAGACGGGCGAGGGTGCCGAGAAAGGAGGTGGCGAAGCCCTGTATGAAGAA